CCATGTTAGTACATTTGAACATACTCTGATATTTAAAACTAAAGCTCGATTTGATCTCTTTATTTCAGAATAATAAATAATAAAAATGTAAAGACCCTTCCTTTTGTACTCTTTACATATAAATTATTTCTCCCCAAAATTATTATTAAAATTAATTCTTAAACCTTTTTGATATGAAAAAATACGTTTAGGAGAGATGTGCCATATTATCTGTAGTGTCACATTTATCAAATCTGTATATACTTCAGTTGAAATCATAAATTATGAAAAAAATTGGTAAAGAATTCAAAGACAAATTAGATTTAAAGAAAGATTTTAAAATTTGGAATATGAAATATATCAATAATTTGCTAAGCAAACTTTTAGTCATTTTAATTATATTCTTTTCAAGTTAGGAGAAAATTAGCTGCTGAATTGACTTTTTATAGAATCTAATAAAATTCAGTACAGTGAAGTTCACTCTTTTTGGTGTACAATTCTATTAGTTTTGACAAATGTGCAATGTTGTGTAACGAGCACCATAATCAAGAACAGTTTCATCACCTCAAAAAAATTCCCTTAGGCTGGCCTTTGTTGTCAACTCTTCCCTCTACCCCCAGGCCCTGAGAACTACCGAATTTTTTATATCCTTAAAATTTTGCCTTTTCCAGAATGTCACATAAATGGAATCATACAGTATGTAGCCTTTTGAGTCTGACTTCTTTCACTTAGCATAATGCCTTTGAGGTTCATCTGTTTCATGTTTCAGTAGTTTGTTTCTTTTTGTTGTTGAGTAATATATTATGTACAGATGTAGCTTAATTGTTTCAAGTTTTTTTTATTACTTTCCACTTACTTCTCTACTTTTTTAAACCTTCCTTACTTTTCTGCTTTGTTTTCTCTGAAACATATAATAGCAACTGTATAGTTATAGCAAATCATTCATTAATTAGTTAATCCAGCACATTTTTGTGATTGCCTGCATAATTGTGTTGATTGCCTACAGAGTGGCAGGTATTATTCTAGATACTAAGGATTCACCAGTTGAACTAAACATACAAACATCTCTCCTCTAATATAACTATGGCCTCAAACATTAAAATTAATAAATTCTGTTATCATAATGAGTTATCGTACATGTACAGATTACTTGTCTTAAAGATTTTTGTGACTTAGATAATTTTTTTTTTTTTTTGCCATTCAACCTGATTATTTTTAGTCATTATTCAGGGAAAAAAGAAGGCAAACTACTGAAGTTAATTGGAAACATTAAAGATGGTTAGTGCAGAATATATGATATGTTTGTTCTGTTTTTAATGGTAATAGTTTCTGATAAATTACTCACGACAAAGTTTCCTTCTCAGTCATGGGACAAAGTTTCCTTCTCAGTCATGTTTTCTCCGTGCAAACATAGTTTCTAATATAAGTTTCTTGTTATGCCAGGAATTTTGTTTTCATTTCTGCTAGACCGTCTCAGTTTTCTCAAGAAGATATACATGGATTAATTGGTAGAGTCCAGAAGAATAGTTGTCCTGTGTGCTGCCCTCAGCAGTGAAACAACATACCATTCTGCTGTCTAGGGATCTGATCCAAAAGGTTTTTTAAGGGGTAGGGAAAGTAAAAGAAAGACAGGAAAGAAGAAAACCAGGGTTGAACCTACAGTGTATGAGAACACTGTTAGGAATTAGAATTATAGGTGGTTTGGAAACCTAATATGTGTATGGGCATCTAACTTTTGAACTATGTGAAAGACTCAGTAGAAATCGAATGAAAGTTAGAACCTGCGTGTATGCCTTGGGTACACTCTCCTTTGTTGGATAGGCCCTACAGGATAACCCTTAGGTAAAAATTCTTTGAAACAGATATATGTTACATCAGCTTTTAATAAGGAGAATATATTAAGCTAGCGTTTCACTGTCAAGTTTTAGACATAACTGACCTGTTTCTAAATTTCTATAAAATATATCTCTATGATTATGTCTCTGTTGGTATGAAAAAATGAAATAAAGAACCAGAATTATTAACTGGTTCAAAATTCCACTTATTGTTTCTCTGAATACTTTTTGGGAAGCTGCTGGTTGGTAGGAATCACACTGGTGTGTCATTTTTAAAAACTGTGAGAAAAAACTCATTTTTAAATGAGATCATTCCATATATATTTTTAAATTTTCAGGGATTTTAAGATTGAAATTTACTTATCCATTAATTTTGTCTTTAATTCATAAAAGGTAGTAATAGAATATGAACCCAATCATAGGACTATTTTAAAAAAACATTTTTTGTAAGAGTTCAGTTGACACTTTACTACGTCTTAGAAAATTTGGCTAGCAGTGTGTGGGAGTTTGTAGTTACTAAACATCAAAGGATATCAAAAATGTCTAGATGGTATTGTCATTTACATAGCATAAGATATGGGAAACCTTTTAGATTTATGAATTAGTTTCAGACCAGACATTGGAAAATTTATGTAAAAAGACTGGCCAACTGTATCAATAAATGATTGTTAAGTGCCATTATTAAGTGAACAAAGGAGCATATGTTAGTACTTCTGACAATAAGCCTTATTCTCAGAATATTGATGTTTTGATCATTATTTTTGCAGGCAGATTTTTAAGGCATAACATTCAAAAGTTTACTGCTTCTTCACGTATATTCATGTATTTTGGGGACTTTAACTTTAGCCTAGCTTTTTTCCTGTTTTTAATTTCCAAATTTTTCCTTTCAAGTTGGAGAAAATCTATTGAGTTTTCTTTTCTTTCTTTTTCAAATATATTACTTTACATAATTCTGTTTCATTCCAAGGAGTTATTTCATGACATTTTGCTTTAAATTATCAGTCTTCCCAGTTATAGCTTTAACAAGTGAAGTTATATAACAAGTGAAATATGCCTTCCATTTTGCAGTTACTTTTTCACACAAATATCTTTTTCTGGTTGCTTTAAATTTTAAACATAATTTTACCAGAAGTAATATGCTAATCCATTTCCTGAGCAGCAATTTTATTGTTTTTTAAATTTTAATATGTCACTAAAATTAAATATTTAGAACTTTCTATTTTGTTTATGCAGCAAATCACTGAATTCTAATTATGTCAGGTACTGTTTTAAGCACTAGGGATAAAGCAGTTAAAAAAACAGACAGAATTCCCTGCCCTCATGGAGTTTGCATTCTGGTGTGGGGACACAGACCCCAAATAAAGAAGAAAATGGCAGACAAAAGTTCCAGCAAGTGTCTCCTGGTGTGTACTGGAACTCCTAGGCAAAGGACTGACAGGCTGCACTGGTCTGCTGTTCTCCAGGCGTCCAAGAGAGGGTGATTGGGCCAGGCACAGCTGGACACACTGGATTGTCCTCTAGGAAAGGGGCCATCCTGCTGCTATCCACACCTATATTGGAGCTCCAGAGCACCCCCAACTGAGCATGTAACAATGGGGGCTTTTGCAGTCATGAGAGTGGCTGCTAGTGGAGCAAAACATCTTGGGACTGGACACCAGCTGTGCTGATAGCACTTGGAGACCTTTTAGGAAGTCAAGATTGTGTACAGATTCTTGCATTGGAGGTTCTGGAGCCATTGGTCCCAGCTGGCTCTTGCAGGAGACTTAGAGAGCTCCACCAGGGGTCATTTGGTGGACAAATCTATTTGACTTTCTTTAGTCTGCCCTCGTGACCAGGAGTCTAATTAAACCTAAGGCGTTCCATCAGTGACATGAATTAATGGACCTATCAATATTAAACATTAGGAGAAAGAGAGAGTTGTTCATCCATTGACCTCCTTCACCTACTTCCTGAGTTCAGACCTGTTCATTTCTTACCAATCAGAGTCTGTCATCCACCTCTGGGATAAACCAAATTATCTGTCCTTTTCCTAGAGTAAAAAACTTCCCGAAGACTCAGGAGTCACTAATCTGCCATTGCAAGAAACTTTCAGGGGCTCTAGAGTCATCAAATGCAAAGTTAATGAACACATTCCTCCTCATCCAGGTTGTCTAAGAAACATTAGCAGTGATCACAATGAGTGAACCTGACCATCATCATGTTGGTGCGCTTTTGACAGACCCAAAGAAACAGCAGTCACAGTCTAGCCAAAGAGGCCTGTTGGGCTTCAATATCTGCAGGGGGAGACCTCACCAGGGAGACTGCTCATCCCAATCTTCCAGATTAATGACTACTGGGCTTTCTCTGCTATTACTTCCTCTTGTATTATACCCCAGCAAATCTCTTAAGTCCATTCTGGGTTTTTGCATCAACACATCAGTTCTATTTTGTTTGCTTACTTTTGAGCCTCATAGTTTGTAATACTATTGTTTTATACAGTCAGTGTTCATGTAAACTGAGAGCATAGGTATAATAGGGTTCTAATGGACCTACTGGTGAGTCTGGAAGGGCTTTAGAGAGGAGGGAGCATTTGAGGTAAGGCTGGAAGGGCAGAGAAGCAGGGAAGAAAGACATTCTTGACCATGGTGTCATGGAAAAATAAAGGGTCTGGTGTCTTCAGGTAATGGTGAGAGGTTTTGTGTGGCTAGGAGTGTATAAGAATAGTAGGAGAGAACTTGGGAGAGGAGTGTTGGAACAGGAGCCTCAATCACATATAAAGCGTTTCCTGACCTGTTTCACAGGGAGAAGCACAGCAGGTCATAGGTGACCTACTCGTGTTCTTAATTTTAAAATCTCATAGTAACCCATTCATTTTTATGTTTAATGACATTAATAATGATATTTATATCTTTCATTTCCATATCTTCAAATTGTTTCCTCCTCTCCATTACCTAATTTCATTATAACAATATCTGAGTGACACAGATCTGAATATATTATAATATTCTAATATTTAAAGATGAGGAAACTAAGATATCAAGAGATTACATGATCTACATGTCTAATCTAACAGTCAGATAGCCATGTTTAGAGTAATGCCAGATCTTCAGATTTTTAATTCCATATACTTGTTTGATTTTATTTGTGTATATAAATGCTTTTTGTCTTCTTCCCCCTCAAATTATTGTGTTTTTCTTTTCTCTGTAGGACTTAGCTTTTACCCTGGAAGAGAGACAGCAATTGAACATTCATGGATTGTTGCCACCTTGCTTCATCAGTCAAGATATCCAGGTCCTTAGAGTAATTAGAAATTTTGAACGTCTGAACTCTGACTTTGACAGGTAACATATTCCTGAAGGTGATTTTTATACTTCTCTTAGGCAGTCGTCTAGTTTGTTTTTTATTGGATGAGAAAGTTAAAATATTTAGTGATTTGGAAAAAGTAGTCAACTTTGAGGAGAATTTGCCTGTAAATACAGTGATGATTTAAAAAAATCTACCCTTTGTAGGAACATTTGAATAAAATAAAATTTTCTTTTCTAAACTATATCCTCCGAGAGACTGCTTTTCTCTTGTGATAAAATTGTTGCTATAAAGGTGAATTATCAGGAAATGCCGTCCTACACAGAGCAAAACAGGTTAAAGTGGTTTTTTAGTCAGACTTTAAGTACATTGTAGGTGAAAGGACACTTTTTCAACTTCCAAGCTTGGTTCTAACACTTTTGTAAGTTTAGGTCACTTTGTTTAGAATTTAGTCTTCATGTTTGCACAAAAATGAAGGTAACATTGTTTCCTACCTTTGGAATTAGCCTTAGGTTGAAATTCTGGCCGTACCTCGCTAGCAGTGGGGCTTTGAGCAAACCACTAAGACCACTGCCGTGACCACTGTGTGTGCCTTGCCCTCTGCTTTTGACTCAGCCCTTTCTTATTAAGGTACTGAACCTCTCCAGACCTCAGGTTTTTCATTTGTAGGTTGAACTGAATAATAGTTATTTGAAAATATTGTTGCGAAGGTTAGAAGAGGTGTCTAACCCAATACCTAATAAGTATTTGTATTAGTCGGGGTTCTCCAGAGAAACAGAATCAACAGGATGTGTACGTGTATATACAGATAGAGAGATAGACTGATTGTATATATAGACTGGTAGATAAATAGATAAATACATAGATTGATTGATTTTAAGGAATTGGCTCACATGATAATAGAGGCTGGGTAAGTCCTAAGTCTGTCGGTAGACTGGCAGGCTGGAGACCAAGGGAAGAGTTGCAGTTCGAGTCAATGGCAGTCTGCTGGCAGAATTCCTTCTTACTGGGGGGTTGAAGAGACTAATAATAATAATAGAGTAGCAGTCCAATTTCCCCTTGGTAGTCAGAATCAGTACCCTAGCCAGCATATTAACTCCCTTCTTTGCCTGTTGAGTCAGAAGTATCTGGTGTCCAAAGTGGCTAGTGGCGGTTTTAACTTCCGGTTCAATGGAATCATTGTCTCCTGGGGGAAACATTCCTCCCTTTGGAACTAAAACTTCTAGGCTAACAAAGCATGTGGTCTCAGGGACAGGAAGCAGAAATTTTGCTAGTGGGTCACTGGGAGTATTAGTGAGTAGTGCCACTTCCATTTCCACCCCTTGGTTCCTGGACCTGTGAATCCTGGCTGTGGGAGAATATATTGGATACTGATTCAGAGCATATACAGCCTCCTGAAGAACCTTGCCCTAGCTTTGCAAGGTATTGCCACCTAGCTGGTGCTACAACTGAGTCTTCAGAAGGCCATTCCACCATTCTATCAAGCCAGCTGCTTCAGAATGGTGGGGAACATGGTAAGACAATTCCATGAACTTGGGCCCATTGCCACACTTCATTTGCTATGGAGTGAGTTCCTTGATCAGAAGCGATGCTGTGTGGAATACCATAATAGTGGATAAGGCATTCTGTAAGTCTATAGATGGTAGTTTTGGCAGAAACATTGTGTACAGGGAAGGCAAATCTGTATCCAGAGTAAGTGTTTATTCCAGTAGGAACAAACCTGCCGCGTCCATGATGGAAGCAGGCCAATGTAATCAGCCTGCCACCGGGTAGCTTGGTGATCACACCATGGAATGGTGTGATATCAGGTGCTCAGTGTTGGTGTCTGCTGCTGGCAGACTGAGCATTCAGCAGTGCCTACAGCCAGGTCAGCCTTGGTGAGTGAAGTCTGTCTTGCTTAGGCCATGGCCAACCTCCGTCCCTGCCGTGGCTACTTTTTTCATGAGCCCATGGGTCATGACAGGGGCAGCTGGGGAAAGAGGCTGACTCAGTTTGTCCAATGTGTATATTTGCTTCTTCATAAACTCCTTCACAATCCCTGTCGCTTGTTCCTTAAGTCCTTCCTTCAGCCTTTATGTTATTACTTTATATTCTTTTCCTTGGCCATTTTATCAGCTACCTCCTAAGAGCTGGTGACTTTCGTATTTTTACCACAGACTGTTCCTCAAATATTTATTGAGCGTCATCTGAGTGTCAGGTGCTCTTTTACATATTGGGATTATAGACGGTGATCTCTGCTCTCGTGGAACTTAGGTAAATTATTTTTAAAAATTATTAAAAAATACTAAATAGTAAAATAATAAGTAAATTATTTAATATGCTAGAAAGCGATAAGTGCTAATAAAAAAAAGAAAAGGTAGAATAGGGTAAGAGGGACTGAGAATGCTGAGAGTGGTATGGTCAGTTTGCAGTGTTAAATTAGTGATCAGGATAGACTTCATTGAGAAGGTGACTTATGAGCAAATAATCAAAGGTAGTGAGGCAGTTAGCCACGGAGAAGTGTGAGGAGCAGTGCTTTTTAGTTGGTATGTTCAAGGATCAGTAGGGAGACCTGTGTCTGGTGCAGAATGAGCGACGGGAAGAATGGTAGGTTGGGACAGGAAGTTAGCAAGGTAATGGAGGACAGATTATGTGTGACTTTGAAGGCCACTAAAGGACTTTTGCTGTTACTCAGTGAAAAGAGGAGCTATTCAAGGTTTTGAACACAAGATCAACATGCTCTGAGCTATATTTCAAGAAGACTGGCTGCAATGTTGAGAATAAAATGTAGACTGGAAGAATTTTTAGGAGACTGTTAGAATAATCCAGGCAGGAGTTGATGGGGATTTAGACCCAGGGTGGTAGCAATGAAGGTATTTGCATTTTGGATATATGTTGAAGGTAAAGCCAATGTAATTTCCTAATATATTACAGATGAGTGTTAGAGAGGTTTTAGAGAAGAGGAGAAAACAGCAAAGAAACAGGAAAGGAATGACAGGTGAGATAGAAGGAAAACCAAGAGAATATGATGGCCTGGAAGTCAAGGAAAGAGTGTAACAAGCTCTAGGGAACATCACCTGAGTCAGATGTTCTGATGAGTAAAACAAGATTCAGTCTGAGCATTGATCATGATGCTTCCACAATGGTCAATGATGACTTCCACATTGCTAAATCAATTTTAGCAGGTCTACAAGTCTTCATCTTCTTCCCAAATGTTAATTTTTTGGGTTGGTATGTTTGCCAAGCATTAGAATCGTTTTATCTCTGACTCCAAATTCTGTGCATCTTCAACTATTCCAGGGAATGGAAATCAATCCAAAAAGGCTGGTAAGATTGTTAAGTACAGTTTTGCAAGATTCTTTTAAGTTGTACCAAGCAGTTTGAGTTTTATACTATAAACTATTGAAGGTTACAGGTAACATGATAAGGTTAATGTTTAGAAAGGTAACTCTGGGTCAGAAAAGCCTCTAGAAAGAAAAAGGCCATTTGATACAAATAATAAGAAAATTCCCTTGAACTTGCCTACCTTAGTAACTTTTAGAGTCAGTGCTACATTCCTTACTCCTTTTCTGCTTGTCATTTCCCTTGGCTATTCAGTATTGCAAGTTAAAGGATGAAGTCTTTCTATTTACTTAGCTAAGTTAATGTTTAAACTATATCTATAGTGGTGTTTTCATTTTAAAATAAGGTTAAAGTCTTTTCAAATGTTAAATAAAACTGTGGTATTTCAGCAATGATTTTAACATTTGAATGACAGTAGCTCAGGTTTATGGTTCTTCATTCTTTGAAGTGTTGAATATTTCTAGTCTTTTTTGATCAGATGCTTTCTATGTGAGCTAAAAAATACTTTATACTTTGTTGAAAAATGTTTAGATTTCTAAGCAGCTATTTCATGACTTTGGTGGACTATGGATCTAATTATGTCCAATTTCCACAGGTATCTTCTCTTAATGGATCTTCAAGATAGAAATGAAAAGCTCTTTTATAGAGTGCTAATGTCTGACCTTGAGAAATTCATGCCTATTGTTTATACCCCCACTGTGGGTCTGGCTTGCCAGCAATATAGTTTAGTATTTCGGAAGCCCAGGTATGTAAACTTTTATTTTAAATACAACGTGTAGTGTCTGTCTTTATTAATTTTTTTGTACAGTTTTTGTAATAATTAAAAAAAATTATTGAATGAAATTAAAGTTTGGAAAAATCTAAATCAAACTTCATTTAAAAGAACATTAAAGGGGCCGGCCCCGTGGCACAAGCAGTTAAGTGCGCGCGCTCCACTGCGGTGGCCCGCGGTTTGCTGGTTCTGATCCCGGGCGCGCACCGACTCACCGCTTGGCAAGCCATGCTGTGGCAGCGTCCCATATAAAGTGGAGGAAGATGGGCACAGATGTTAGCCCAGAGCCAGTCTTCCTCAGCAAAAAGAGGAGGATTGCCAGATGTTAGCTCAGGACCAATCTTCCTCATTAAAAAAAAAAAAGAACATTAAATATAAATATATGTAACATTAAAAAAATATAGTATTTTCTTTCTAGATTTAAGATCATGGGAAAGTATTTATTTATAAACCAATTTAGATTTCTTTTTACAGACAGTAAATTAACTTGTTTTTTGTTTGGAAAGAAAGTAATTGATCATAATTAAGCTTGTCTTTGAGAAGTTAATTACCACTATTATGTACACAATTTATAAGTTAGAACAAAGATTCCAAATTTTTCTGAAAATGAGGAGTATATTATTTTCTAAATTCACAGTTGGCGTTAAAGTAGCTCTTTTGTTGCTTTCCCTTAAGTGAAATAGTAGTCACCTTTAAAGATATGTAAAATATAGAATACAAGTTTTCTAAATCCATAGCTTTAGTTTATTCATTATATTACTTTAATATAATTTTTCTAAATCTATAGCTTTACTTCATTATGTTACTTTAAATACTTTTGAAACAAGGAACAATTGAAATAAATAAATATTAATACTTTTAACAGCAGCAACAATAAAAACTCAAGTTGACTCTATTTGTGCTACTTGTAGTTCTGAATTTAAAGATAAAAAAATAAATGTTTATAAGTTTATACCACAAATATAAAAGCCTATTGAAAGTACTGTCATTGAAAGGAGTAATTCAGAGGTAATGTCTGCAAGTTAGATTGAATATTTGGGTTTCATGTAGATATGTTGATGTAGTGGTAATATTTAGTACACTTGTGCCACATTACCCTTTGTATAAAGAAAAGAATTAGCCACATCATTCCTTGTATGAAGAGAAGAATTAAATATCTGTAGATCACCATCTATTAAATTATATTAATAGCACATCTCTATTTTGCATTTATACAACGACTATATTAACAGTGAATAAATATTTTTTCGTAGAAGAATAAGAGTTAGAATTTAGCTGGTAATTGTATTGTGAAGAATAATTCTTTTTGGGGGTATATAAGTATATTATTTTTTAATCATACAAACAATACATATTCATTATTGAAAAAATGGGAAAATATAAATATACAGAAGGAAAAAATACTTTAAAAGCACCTAATGTCATCATACCAAAAACCCTGATACACGTAAATATGGATTGTTTTCCTTACAGAAGGGATCGTACTATATAAACCTTACCTTACTGTCTTCTCTGAGTGATGTCATAAACATCTGTCCATGTCTGTAAAATATATTTCTACATAAAAAAAGAATCTTAATAAAAGCACCGTATATAAAACTTGGCTGTTTTAAAATGTAATTTAAGCATATTTATTGAAATTCTAAGATTTCTGTGAGATTCTGAGAAATGCTAACAACTATAAGAAATGTAGAAGAGCTTAGCTCAAAGTATTTGGGTTGAAGTTGACACAGAAATCTCAATAGCAACAGTTATTTTTTGAGCACTTACTATGTACTAGATGATTTTTTTAAGGGCTTGGGATACGTTGGTGTACATATAGATCTAAGAGCAGAAGAGACAGGCAGAGGGAAATAAAAAATAAGCAAATTGTCTAGACTGTTGAAAGATAATAAGCGTTACGGAAAAAGAAAGAGTAGAGCAGGAAAAGGGGGATCCAGAGTGTCAGTTGCTTGGTGGGGGGGAGGGGCAGGTGCAATTTTAAATAGAGCGGACAGAGTAGGCCTCATTGGAAGATGATATTGGAGGAGTGAGAGGGGAAGTCATGTAGATACATGGGAAACGTGCCAGGCAGGAGGAATAGTCAGTGCCAAGGCACTAAGTGGGAACATGCCTGGAGACCAGGAGCAGCCAGGAGACCAGTGTGGCTGGAGTGGAGTGAGAGAGGGGAGAACAGGAGATGAGGTCACAGATGTAGGATGAATGAGAGGGTACAGAAGCTGTAGTTTCTTGCAGGCTTTTTAAAAGAACGTTGGCTTTTACTGTTAGTTAAATGCGTAGAAAAATCTGGTAGCCTGGTTGGCAGGCTATTGCAGTGAACTCAGTGAGAGATGACAGTGGCTCAGATTGGGAGGGTAGCAATGGAATTAGGGGTAACAGTTCAGATTCTGGATAAAGATAAAGAAATCACAAGGATTTCCTGTTGGATTGGAGGCTTCCTAGAGCATTGGTTAAGAGTATTGACTCTGGAGTAGATTGCCTATTTTCACTTACTGGTTTTGCCACTTGTTTTAGTTTCAAATAAATTATTTAATCTTTCTGTGCTTCAGTTTCCTCCTCTGTAACATGGGGATAATACTAAAGCCCACCATCCTTTATTGACATTTTTTAAATCCAAAACTTTGAAAACCAAAACATTAAAAAAAAAATCTCATTTGGGACAAAATCTGATCTATCTGAACCCATTTGGTGGCAAAACTTGAACTGAATTTATAGTATTTATCTGATTTAGTGTCATTTGTTTTTCTTTAGAAGTATTAATATATTTGATTACAAGGGGCTTTGTCAAAAATAAATAAGTTAGCTAGATAGCTAGCTAGATAGATAGAGGGGTGGGGGAGAAGAAGAGGTTGGGCAGGAGGTAGCACAGCGTTTGTAACAAAATGCTCACCAGTGTTGAAACTAGGTAGAGGTATTGTTTAAACTTTTCTGCAGTATTTGAAATTTAAGTAAAGGAACACTTTATTAACAGAGAAAGTAAAATTTCTAAAACTATTTCTGTATGATCTCTTTATGACAGTTTTCATGTTGATTTTTAACGTGTATATTTTGTTAAACTTTTGATGACCTTGCAGTTCTTTAGCAGAATAATTCTCATGGCTTCTCCCATGGTAATAAAAAAAGGAACTTATGTGACAATGTGTGTGGCATATGTTTAGACATTGTATTTAATTAGAAAGAAAATTGTGATTGTGTTCGAATAATGTTGGATCTTTTCATGCATCAATTAACATATAGAGTATTCTTTTTTTTTAAGGGAAAATTGACAGATGTCTCTTATACCTTTCCTACTGCAACAGCAGGTGTTCTAAGACATTCAGAAAGTGAGCAGGAGGATTATGCCTCTTATTATATTTACTTTATGGATTTGGTGGTAGCAGTTAGGAACATAATTAGTGAAAGTTAAGGGTTAATACAAGTACTTACTACAGTTGCAAACAGGTATATCTTTTGATCTCATACTTTTTCATTTATCTTAACGATATGATACTTTTCTATGGCTAGATATTTATTTTTCATTTTGAATATGGCATTAAAATCTGACTAGGTATCCAAAAGTAAATTCTTATATGAGTAACTCTACTTCCAAAAATTTTTTCGTAAGGCGTGACACTGGAATATCTATTTATTGGTTTTGTGTGAAATTTCTTTTCTCTGTGGCATAGATACTTTGTGTGGGTTTTTCAAGATGTCGTGGATAATGACTTTTAAGAATGTTGTTGAGTTCGCTTGGAATATCTCATTCCCACGTGCCCATAATGTTTTAATTCTTGCAGGATTTCCAATATTTGGTAGTACAATATGCTTACATCAGCACACCTAATTGTGGCTAATTTGTTGACAGAGGTGTGATTTTTGGAAGCTAGAGACAATTCTTTATGTATTTTTGCAGAATGCTGAGCCTATTGTGTTACTTAAGTTACTTGCATTCTGTGAAACTTTTTTTTGAAGAAAAGTTTTCTGCAAATTGATAATGCAGGTATATGTAAAGGATAGCTAAAGCAGATTTACATAATTTCTTTGGAAATATTTCTACCTGCTATATTTTACACTGCATTTTCTAAGAATCATCTCCTTCTCTTGTGAGTTCTTATTAGCTATATATTATTTTACCATGCCTTTGGTATTAATCATGTTCCTATGCTTGATATTTCTAATGTTCTATCAAAGTACTGTTGGTCTCTTTTTAAAAATTTTTTTGAGGTGTAAGTGACATATAACATTATATTAGTTTCAGGTGTACAACATAATGATTTTATATTTGTATATGATGCAAAATGATCACCACAATAACTCTAGTTAACATCTATCACTAAACATAGTCACAAAAATTTTTTTTCTTGTGATGAGAACTTTTAAGATCTCTCTTAGCAACTTTCAAATATGCAGTACAGTAGTATTAACTATAGTCACCATGCTGTATATTACATCTCCATGACTTATTTATTTTATAACTGGAAATTTGTACCTTTTGACCCCCTCACACACTTTGCCCAGCCCCTACTCCCCACCTCTGGCAGCCACCAATCTGTTCTCTTTATCTGTGAGTTCAGTTTTTCTTCCCCCTTGTTCTCTTTTGTTGACATTTTACTGTTCATTTCGTCCCAACTAGATTGTAAACATCTAGAGAGAAGGGATCGTATTTTATAAATTATTCCTGTATTTCCCATGCTATTTAAGCTTAGTGCCTGGTTGGTGCTGACTTACTATATGTTATTTGCTACCTCATAGAAATAGTAACTTAATATTACTCTATTCACCCACTCACATAGAAAAACATAAAGTATTGATATGTTCTTTATATCTCCTACTGTTTAAGCATATTATTCTAACAGGTAAATTCTCATAAATAATAGATCTGAAAGAAATTGGACTCACTCCCAGGAATCAGGCTGTGAGGAAGTAAAATTTTGATTAAATATAGACAATAAAACCTTAAACTAATATTACACTCCTTTCAACTACTCATCTTT